TTTTTTTTTTTTTTTTGATCCTGTATTATTAGATCATCCCTATTTCTGAATGTCAAAAAAGTGGAAAATGTGTATTAGCTTTAAGAAATGTTGCTATAATTGGGCTTTTTAGTGCACGAATGGAAAGAAAATTGAGGTAGAAATAAGAGAGTTAAGGAAAAGATTGAGATTTTCCAATAAATATCAAGGCAGGAAAAGAGAAAGGCTTCTCCAGAAATAATCATCATCGTCCTTAGCTTCGGCTTGTGCCACTCTCCCCTGATCACTGTGCTCCAGCCATGCTAGCCTTGGCCTTTTCAGTTCTTGCCCTTGCCAAGCTCCTTCTGATTCATGACTAACTCCTTCTCATCCTTTGAGTCATTTCCTCAGAGACATTTTATTTGTCTGCAGACTGTGTTTGACTCCCCATATTACTCAAAACACACCCTGTATTTTCCTTTGGTGGCATTTATAACAATTATAGGTTCTTATTTGTGTACTTAATGGCTATCTGCTCTGCTAGATCACATGCTTCATGTAGGCAAGACTGTACCTAGCAGAGTGCCTGGTAATCATAGGTACTCATCTGAAAGAATAAAATCAACGAAGTAGAAAGAGCTTTCAAAAGATCCCATCAATCTCTTTATCAAGGGTCCTCTATGCACCGGTTCACTGCCAAATCTTTTATAACGTTTACCTCTTTTTCCTCGCTATAAGCCTATGCAGTGTGTATTGTCCTTTGGCATTTTACAGTTGAGAAAATCGTAGTTCATTGAGATGAAGTTGTTGCTGAACACAGGTTAGCTGCCTGCCACCTGAGAACCAAACACGAAAGGCCAGTGTTGGTGAAGGAAGGTGGTTTATTTAAGTACTGGCAGCCTGAGGAAATGGCAGACTGCTGTCTCATAGACCATGTTTACTGAGCAACTTATAAAGGGAAGGGGTAAAGGGGATTGGTGGCAGAAAGCAAGCTTTGTGCAAGTCATTATGACTTGCTTGCTGGTTATCAGCAAACAATAGGTTGTCTGGTGGATCCTGTCATCAGCAGTCTGTGACTGGCCTCTTCTGTAGACTCTAGATCTCTTTTCCTCAGGGTCGTTTCCTAACCTTGTGCTGGGCAGCTGTGTAAACAAACAACAGGTTAACTCTAAACTTTTAAGACAGAACAAAGGAAAGCATACTGGAAGCAAGATGGCTTCCCCATAGCCAGCCCAGTGTTAAGTCTGAATGGCCCTTACAAGTAAGAATGACTCACTAACAAAATGGCTCAGCTGCAAGACAGTAAAGCCTGAAACTGAACCCAAAGTCTCTGGCTCTCAGTTGCAAGCTCTTTCCATTGCATCATTACTTCACGTTGCTCATTATCAGTTCCTGGGTCAGCCTCCCTTCTGCATCCAAGGAGAGTTTCTTGAGTACTCACTTCTGCTTATTTCTCCTCAGTGTTCTCCTGTATATTATGAAGGTATTAAACCAATGGATCAATGTTTCTCCATAGTCTGTTTGGATCAGAATCATGCATGGGGAGGAGGTGGATGTTCTCACGAAAAATTCAGATTCCAGGCCCCCAGATTCATTGAATCAGAATGTAAGGGGGGACAGGCAAAGTCCAGGAATCTGCATTTTTAAGAGGCTCACAAAGTGATTCTTATGCATGTCTGAGTTGAAAACATTCCATTAGCTGATTTTTAAAATTCCTTCCAGCTTTGACAGACTTTGCTTCTGACACTAAATTGGAGGGTGTGTCTTTGTATCCCTGTCATCTCTTACAGAGCCAGGAACTCAATATATTTTTAGTGAACAAAAACATTTGGATTTGGAAGACACCGATTCAAGTCCCTGCTTAGGTATTTACCAGCTGTGATTCCTTAGGAAAATTACTTCTTTGACTGTTAGAATTATCATCTTTAAGATGGAAATAATGACAATCCCTCCCCTGGCTCCAGCCGTTGATGTGGAAGATAAATGAACTCATGTTTGGGAAAGCTCTTGTGATGATTCCACATTGAAGAACCACGATAGGCACAAAGTGGACACCAACAGGAGTTACTCAGCCCTTCAGACCCACAGGTGATTCCGATCCAGCTCTCTCCAGTGAACTGAATGGGGAGCTTATTAAAACAGGAAACAAACCACCACCACCACCACCTTTGAAAATTACATTTCCATTCAAAGTAGGGAGGGTCTTTCCAAGGAAATAATGTGATTTTTTAAAAGAGACTCTGAGGCATTTTTGTAGTGCCCCCTGGTGGAACTTAGAAGCCAACTCAAATCTATCATCCTTATCACACATTTGCTGTTGGCGTAGCAAAGAGATCAATTTATTAATTGAGTATATCTGTTCTTTACTTAAGACTTTGTAGAGCTTCTCTTTGTCCTCAGAGCCTAGCATTCATTCATTCATTCAACCATTACTGAGCATCTGTGGTGCCAGTTGCTGTGCTTGGCCCCCAAGGAGACACAGTGGAGGTCAGATGGGTCCCCACCCTCAGCACCTTTACTTGCAAGTAGTGGAGACAGACAAGCAAACAGCCAATAACAAGAGTGAAACATGCTCTGAAGATGGAGGTGCACAGAACTATGGAAGCCACTTTCTTTGGCCAAAACTCAATGACCTGTTTTGACAGAAAGCATGGCTCATTGAGGGGGGAATGGCAAAAATGAGGTATGACGTGTAAACAGGAGCTAGATGGTGAATGACCTACTCTATTAATGAATTTGGATTTTATCCTAAGGTCAATGGGAAACAACTGAACAGTTTTAAGCAGAGTAATGATGTGATTTGATTTTTGTTTTTCAAGATCATGCTGGCCACAGCAGGCAGAGCTGACAAGAGGAGAGCAAGCCTGGAGGCCAGACAGGAAGGAGCTGCAGAGTCCAGATAAGAAGTGAATGTTAGGTTAGGAGGGACACACAGGGAGTTTAAAATGTATTGGTAAAATTGCATTTCTTTCCCTGGGTGTTAGGTACAAAAGTGTTTAATTCTTTATACCTTATATTTATACTACACAAATTATTTAGTATATGTGAAATAGTTCATTTAAAAACATAAAACCCACAGGAAAAAATACTATATATATTTTGATGTACACATATGTCATGTAAATATGAAAATTTGGAAGGGAAGGATGCCCACCAACTTCATGATAAGGGTGGCTTCTGAGGAGGTATGGTAGAGTATGAAAATAGCCATGATCCTCATTCCTCTCTGTATCCACATCCTTTGCTGTATGGTTTTGTATCTTTCACTTGAATCTAGGAAAGCCTTATTACTTTCTTTGGCCAATAAATTGCAACAGCAGGGGCAATGTGCTAATTCTGAGCCTACGTCTCAAGAGGCCTTGCATGCTTTGGCTCTTTTGGAACCCTGCCCAGGCACCCATGTGCACAAGCCTGGGCTGGACTGCTGGAATATGAGAGGCCATGGGGGGCAGAGTTCCAGCTGAGGCCATCCTAAACTAACCAGCACCCGGTCAACTGGGAAGTTGACCACCTACAGATAAATGTAAGATAAAGACCAGAAAAAACACCCAACTGACCTCAGTCAAAACTGCCAATTCACACAACTGTGAGATGTATAAACAGTTGCCACTAAGCTTTGGGGTAGTTTGTTTTGCAGCAAAAGTTGACTGATAAAGAAATTGGTGTCTGAAAGTGAGATGCTACCTTTAACAAAACCCTAAAATTTGTGGCACTGGCTTTGAGATAGAGGGTGGTTGGAGATTAGGAAAATGGCAAGCAAATACTGAAGTCTGGAAAAATGGTGGGGAAATTGTTACTAGAGGCTGGAAAAATGGTAATCTGTGTTTTATAGTGGCACTTTATAAAGACCTCTACAAGAATCAAGTGGTATCTAGTAGACCCTAGACAAAAGGACTTCTTAATATCTTAAAAGTCAAGAAATTGGAATTTCTTCCTACAGAAGCCCAATTCCAAAATAGCAGTGATAAAATTGAGAGCGATGTCACAAAAACATTTGTGAATGTGTCATTTGGAGTATGGAATAGACTATAATCAGACACATAGAAAATTCATAAAAATTTTAAATAAGTTGTACATATGAAAATACCATTAGCCTGGACTAAAGGGGAAAGAAATTATTCAAATTGCTGCTCAGCTGCTGGGGGCCACATCTTCAGAAGTAGCCAAGGAAAGTGACAGACAAGGAAGGATGTTTCAGAGGGTGGAGTCAAAAGCCACAGAGATCAAGGGAGTAGGGAGCCACTCCTATGGAGCAGAACCTAGGCCTGAGCAAGAAGTATATCCTGTGCCAGGATAGGAGGACTTGTAAACCTTTGCCCAGCTGGAGTTCAGAACTGCTATGTGCCTCTCATTCTTCCTTTTTTTTTTTGAATGGCAGGGTCTATTGAGGTCATCCTGCTTATTTCATTGTATACTACCAAATAACTTGTCTTTTTAATTCATGGCTGTCAAGATCAGGAAGAACAACATCCATCAACTCACATACAAACCTGATGTAGATCATAAGATCTTAGACTTCAAGCCTGACAGCTTGCTTCAAGCTTAATAATTGCAAGAGATGTTTGAGGGTCCTGGAACGGTGGTAAGCACATTTTTCCCACGAGAGGCATGTGAATAATTGTGGTCAGAGAGGAAACTGTGACAGGTTACAAAAATGGCCACAATCCCTCAGTCCTCCCTGCATCCACACTCTTTGAGTTGTGACTTAGCAGCATCTCCCAACAAGAGGTGGAGACTATTTTTCATCCCCTTAAATCTGAACTGGCTTTATGACATTTCTGGCCAGTGGAACACAGCAGAGGGATGATATTCCCTCTGGGGGGAATTCTATGCCTAAGGGAAGAATTCTATGCCTAAGCCTCAAAATACACTGCATATCTCAGCTTTTTCTCTTGAAATTCCATCCAGCTACTCATACGAACAAACCCGAGCTAGCCTGCTGGAGGACAAGAGACCACAAGGAATAGAGATGAGCCATCCCAGCAGAAGCTATTCTAGATTATTCAGCACCCAGCCGATTTAGCAGCTGACCTCAGACCCATAAATAATTCAACACAGCCAAGGCCAGATGCGGAACCCACCTGAGCTCAGCACAAATTGTTGACTTGCAGAACTGTGAGCTATACAAATACTATTGTTTTACCACTAAGTCTTGGGATAGTTTATTATTCAGCAAAAGCTAACCCACTAAAAAAAAACCCTAACCAACATAGGAGTCAAGGCACAAAATTGAATAGGGAGGAGGTTAAAAGGAAAGGAAAATCTATGAGACAAATGAGAAAGAGTGCTATTTGTTGTTCTAGGTGGTGGGTACATGGGTGTTGTATCCTTCCCTCTAATTTTCTTTATTTATTTTAAAGTTTTCATTGTAAAAGATTAGATTAAATTGTAACTTTAAATTTAAAAGTAAAAAGAATAAATTCTGGAGTTCCAAAAAGGCTAAGGCTCTCTATCTTCTCCACACTGTCATGAGGTGATCATACTTGTTTCCATGGCTTTAAATACTTTATGTTGATAACTTCCAAATTTATATCTATAGTTCAGACCTCTCTTCTGAGCTCCAGACTCATATTACCAACTGCCTACTTTGACATTTGCGCGCAGGTGTCTCAAATGTGACAGGTTTAAAATTGATCATTTACTCTTTCCCTGTGTGGTAGCCAGTCTCTATGATGTTCTCCGTGATCGCCACCTCCTGGTATTCACACTGCACCACAGAATTTTAAGAAATGACAGTGTGTGACTTCCCAAGCTAGGTCATAAAAGACACTGTGGCCTTTGCTGTGCTCTTTCTTTGGATCCCTCCCTCTGGAGGAGAGAAAAAGAAAAATAAGACAGAAAGAACTTTAATATTAGCTCTTACTTCTGGGACTTCTGATGAATCAGTCAAGAAATATTTACTGAGTACAAGGCCAGAATATTCATTAAGACTCAAAGTAGATTCCAGGGTATGTCATGCATATATTTGAAGAACATTTTCCGTTTGGATAGTAAACTTTATGAACTTCACAGTATCTAAGACAAAAATTACACAGAAACACATCCCTATGAAGAGACCTGTTTATTACTGATAACACTTCATTTGGCTAAAACCACAAGAAATCCACACACAAATACATAAAGTGCAAATTCTTACAGGCAGTACTTATAATACACCCTGGTGTTTTTGTAGGGAAAAATGAGAAGAGGTTGACAAACTATTAAAACAAGAGCACAATTTTGAACTACTTCTACACACTTTAGTCAGAAAAAATAAATCATTGGTAACTGTGTATACTTTATCACAACAAAGAGTTTATTCTAGCCTATAATAAGGCCTCACCATACGTAGATGCAAATTCTTGCTTGAATGGTTCTTGTAAGACATATAATACATCACAAAATTGGACAAAAATATACCAACTAGTATTGAATTTGTTGTGACTCACCTGGAAGGTAGCGCTAGTAGGCTCAAAATGACACTTAGACTAGTGATATTGTCTACTTAGACACTATTTCTTAGTCTTCCTGGCCAACATCTTGCTTTGAGAGTAAAATACTAGCCATTATATGTAATTTCCACATAGAAATATGCTTTGCTTTCTCCAAAGAAACTGAGTATTTAAGGGTATGCATGCTTCATAAACATTGCATTATAAATTTCAGTAACAGAAGTCATTCAAAAAGCTGAATTAGAAATTTTTTTGATTGTTCCTTAGATTATTTGCTTAATATAAAATCCCTTAATTACTATTATCACCAATTAAATGCTCTATAACAGGTACTGAACTAGGTGTTGTGGATATGAAAAATTATGATCCCTGCTCTCAGGGAGCTGATCGTTGGGGGCTCCTCCTTCATCAAGGAACACCAGTGAATTAAAGAAAACAAACTGGCCAACAAACACTTCACACTACTATTATGAGGTTCAGTGGTAACAGAACTGTTTCAGGCCACTTTAAATTGGCATTAATCCTTTAGAAGGTCAGATTCTAAAGGGCAGGGAATAGTCTAGATATGTTCTATGTTTCTGTTTCTCACACTAGAGCCAGGATGTGTACCCCACGGATATGCAACAATTGGGAGTGGGGCTCTTGGGGGAGAAAATTGAGCAGCTATATGATAAACACAGTGCTCCTTTCTGGCAGTATCTGTTTCAGTGTGGACTGAAGAGATCATCTGTATTTTAAAACAGTTTTATTATGGAGAATGCAAAACACACATTTTAAAGACAGAACACAGCATTTCATGTCAGTGGTAGGCTGCCTCTGATTTTGCTCTCAGAACCCCTTCCTCCTTCGTGCTCCTCTGTTTAGGGTTATGCTGGTGGAGAAATTTGAGAAGCAAACTCTAGATATGTCACTTTAACCAACTCTTGGTCACTTTACACATTCTTGTAGGTTCTCTTTTTAAAGTACATAGTCCTGAATTAACAAAGAGGAAAGACAGCTTAATGAATTTAACAGTATGGTGAATATTTTAAGGGAACCAATAGTCAACACTGACTTTGTTTCTAACTAGAACTAAAGTCATGCTATGTAAACAGTCAGACAGTGAGCAATTCTTTTCTTTCTGTTTAGACTTCTTATGGATTATGGTAAGATGCTTTAAGAAAAAATGTGTAAAAGATTTCCTGAAATCGTGTGCTTTGGCTGTCCCAAGTACAAGCAACCCTGAAATAAAATGTTATTAATAGATCAACTGACCATTCATTTTGGTTAGTATGACTCTTTCCTCATCAGTTTCCAGAGCAATCTCAGAAAACAAGTGAATTGTAAAAGCCCTTAATATATTAACATATAGTAATATCCAGAGAACCAAAACAGATTATGAAATAGATTTAAAATTACCTCTTACAATAAGCCTTAAATATTCTGACATTAATAACAAACTAACCAAAAGCCCATAAACAAATGCAGTTTATGAGTAAGTTTAAAGCATTCTGAATGAATACATTTAAGTTTCTTATCAGTGAGGTAATAAAATAATAGCTCTTCACAGTAACAAAATGTGGAAGGGCATTTAGGGAAACAGGGAGGTGGAGAGAAAAAGGCATAAAATTAAATTTATCCAAGCAGAATTTGGATTTTTCAAGCATCACAAACATCAATGGAAAACATGTGAAAGAAATATCCATAGCAGCAATTCATAGAACAATTTATCCATTAAACTCCAGCTAACATCTCTGTTGCATCAATTCCAGAAGCAACCTGCTTAAGGAATGGAAGATCTGTTTCCTATATGGAGATATTCCAAAGTATCCAATCTCCTAGAACCTCTCTGTCTGCTGAAGTTACTACATCCAAATAACGATACTTCATATTTAAAACAAAAACCTCAAATAACTACAATGCTTTACATTCTTTAAGATGAACAAAACTGTGTTCAAGTCTCACTTAATTTGCCAGGTTAATTAAAAATAACATCCAAGCAGGTCTTTATTCATCGCACCTACACATGTACTACTTAACATATACAAAAATTATTTTGTGAGCTAAATGCTTCTAGATATTGAGGGAAAGTATTTAAAATTTTTATTTCCTGATTTCAAATAGAAGACATGATGATTTCTATCTAAGATGTTTTTAAATCTTAAGCTTCTCATGCTGTCTTTTTATTTTTATTTTTTAAGATCCTTATTCCTGCTGGTTCTGTCCTCATTAGAGATGGAAAACAGTATGGTATAGTACTTTTTACTTTGAGTCCCTCAATAAAACTCTCAATTAATAACTTAAAGCTTAGTAAACTTTCTTAGAAGCTTTCTCCTCTCCAGGGTTAAATGATCTTAATTTCCAGAACATTTCTCAGAGGTCTTATTTTCCAATCTACATTTTATTCTCTTTTATTTCTGCTCTATCTCCTCCCAAGTTCTCATGTGATTCTAACACAATATCCTAGCAGGGACTGAATCTGTAAGAGGGGTACTTTTCCTCACCTCCTAAAACTTGGGCTCTTTTTAGTGATCACTAACAAAGGAAAACAATAGGTTCATTATCCATCATAATAAGTAAAGACAAGTAAACAACTTGCAGCCAGTTTATTCTCTCCTTTTAGGTTTGCCCTTCATGAGAAGCATTTCCTGTGCTGCCTTACTGACCTTTATATTGTTTATTTCTACTATTTACTTCTAATTTATGCTTTGATCTTGCCCCACTAATTCTTCCCTTTTCCCCCAAAGCTCTAGAAGACTCCAGTTTTGATTTACATGCTCAATGAGAATATATTCATTTCCATGATATTGTTCAAAAAGAAAAAGATAAATAATGCAGTGCTCCACAGGCCAGCACTTCTGTCTCTCTTGGCTTGCTTAGGGTATGACTGAATTTTTCCTGTTGGGCAAATGTGCACCCACTATATCAACTTTGTGTTAAATATCATGCTCAGCCTTGAGAGCTTGCTAGAATCAAATAATTCACTCAATCTATACACTTGGGAATATTTGTAAAATTTTCTTAATTTTAACTTTGGACTTTTACATTTTTGAGGTAAGATCCAAACTTCAGTAACTTTTCACCTTGATTACATGACTTAAATTTGCATTATATTAAAAGCATGCAAAAAACTATCTTTCATAACAGATGACACATGACATAGCATTAGTAACTATGAATGGGCTTCATGTCATTTTAGCTTCATTTTTTTCGTCAGTAACTGAAACACAGATACTAGAACAAATATACATTTTATATATAATATCATATTTTCATACCACTTTGTTGAATACGCCATTTCCTAATTAAATCCTAGTTCCTAAAGGAAATAACAAAATTTTAACCTTTTAATACAAAAAATTCTAAACATTTCTTCTCCAGTGCAATCCTTTGGAAACAAATTCATCTCAGAAAAAACGGTGCTCTACATTTATACTGTCTTATTATCTACAGTCATACAAGATCTAGCTTATAAGACAGAAAGGAAAGAACAAATTAACAATAGTGGCAATACAATAATTTGAAAATTGTGTTGGATTATATGGGCTTACCAAATGTCAGTTGAGATTCGGCAACAAACCAAACCATGATTTAATGAACATTCTAATCGTGTCAACTTTATTATTATTACTTTTTAGAAATAAATTCTGTAATACCAGTGCTATTCCCTATAGCAATCTGATTTACGTTTGATTACACCCAAGG